TCGCTCGCCGGCTCGTCCCAAGGTTTTCTGCGTTGATGGTCTGAAGTATCTAGCGTGATCCTTCCTTCGATGGGATTTTCTACCACGATCACTTTCTGTCGATATGATGGATAGAACCGATGGAGAAGGGGAGTGGTCAGTTCGTAGTTGACCGCTCTGGTTCTTCCAATCCTCAGCGCTGTCCACTCGAATGATTACCCCATCGTCCAGATGTAAAACGGAACTCACGGATGATGATCGTTTAGGCAGATGTAGCGACGAATGGCCGTCTGAAAGAGACTTTCTTAATTCATCAGACCGCTCCTCTGGAACCTGAGAATCCTGGATAGGAAGTGTTCCTTGTAATTCATTCTTACTTACCCCTGAACATTGATTACGAATTTCTCCATCCTGCACTACCATTGTAAATGAATAATACTATATATCCCGTCTTCCCCTAATTTACTTATTTAGATATATATATATTTACTTGCTTTCTCAAAAATGGAGAATAAAAGCAAACTTCGTACGCTGATATTATCCCATATCCAACTATAGTAAAGATCGTTACAGGCATCAGCTCCAAAAGCCGGCTTCTTCCCGTATTACTCACAACAAAGCTATGAGGGAAAAGAGTAACATTGATACCGGGCTGTGCGCTGAACATCTGCCTCCATTGCGCATGCTCAAACGAGACTAAACACGGGTCACTTGAGCTGCCAAGTAATCTAGCATCCTTTAGCTAGCGGTATAGAATTATGAAGAGTGACACTTTGAACATCTGGAATTTAGTGATCATAAATTAAAATCGACAAGATCTTAACGTTATCAACAGCTATTTCATAGGTTTGGCTAACTTTAACGTCGCTTCATTTACTTATTTCTACTTAGGTGACAAAAATCTAAGCGTGTTTAGAGATAACATTGAAGATTTACATTATAAAATTGTGACAAAGAAATGGTTTGCAAGAGTCTTATTAATAAGTAATTAACCACAAAATTATCCAAATTTTGTACATAAACTGTATTATTATTGTTATAGAACACATGGATAGACACAGCAACATGTGTACATATAATATACAGTAAATTCATTAGGACCCGTCGTATTCATGTACGCAATGAATACCGTATTTTTCTCGTCAACTACTGCTCAGAAATTCCAGCCTTTCATAAAGATTGGTTTGGTTTGTTTGAAGTTAAGCACAAAGCTACACAATGGGCTATCTGTGCTCTGGCCACCACGGGTATCGAAACCTAGTTTCTAGCGTTGTAAGTCTGTAGACATACCGCTGCGTCACTTGGGGGCTTTCATAAAGAAATGTAAGATCTATCTAAAACTAAAACAGTCCGTAGTTAAGAAAATATCGCAGAAGAAAAGGAATAATCATTTATGCTATATATATGCATATCGTTGCATAATTTATTAATGAAACGATGTTTGTTGTGTGTGTTATCAAATATATGATTTCCTTGCGTGCTTAGTTCGAGTATAGAACACGTGCACATTCTGTTTTTAAAGCTTAAATATGAAGCTTTTCGAATATTATAACAAAGTGAGGAACAAAAACGATGGTATAAAGAATAGAATGAATACTATTTTAAATACATAGAAACTGATATAGCCCGTGGTTGCCTTCTTTAGAAGTATTTACGTATGTCGTACCTATTACTATTGAAATAGTATGTATATTGAAGCAACAAGGTGTTTGTGGTTGTTTTGATTCATATGAAAGATGGGTAGTATTTTAGCTTTGTCGACCCGAGACAACTCGAGCCGTCTTTGTCTCTATCTCTCTCTCTCTGTCTCTCTGGGGATGAGTTCTTTGAGTTATTAGATAATTACGTCAGTGTTCTATTTAGTTACACAATCTAAGCAGATTACACAACAAAAACAATTAAGTTGTTCATTTTCTCAAGGAAAGAACTGGAATTGCTAAGAAAGCATGTGGCTAATGTGTTTCTTGCATGTGAGTTACTGCGTGCTGTGTAATAAGTCTAAGAAAACTTGAGCAGTTAATGCCAATAAAAAAAAAATCAGCTCGACACTATTTAATTGAACTGCAGATATAGACCAAGGTTTAAAACAACTTGAAAATGGGAAACTATTAGTTTTTTTTGTTTTTGTTTTTTTGACGGATAAAATGTTGGCTGAACTCGGTGACATTTCAAAATAGCACTATCGATTTAAGCAAACATTTCAATAATTGATTACTTCAATGGTTTAAGTTATTCCTACTTATGAATAAAGTACATATATTTCGAACTAAAATACAGGGATTAAACTTGGATTAAACGATCCGGAAAGGAGTTCCATCTCTTGAGGATTGAAGACTCAAGCCATTAGCGTTCCTGATTGAAATGTCAAAAGGAAATTATTCCCAATTCCACCGCTACTAAAATAAAAATATAATAGAAAAAAAAAAACGTGTAAAAATAATAATTCCTTTAACGGATTTTTTTTTATTATTTTAATAAAATAGGTTTTCTTCTCTGTCATAATAGCCCCCCAGTGGCACAGCGGTATGTCTGCGGACTTACAACGCTAGAAACCGGGTTTTGATACTCGTGGTGGGCAGAGCTCAGATAGCCCTTTGTGTAGCTTTGTGCTTTGTAACAAACAACAACTGTCATAATAATGGTGATCAATATTCAAACAGAAATCACACAACACTGATCAACTTCTCTTATTGCTGTTCTATATCCTCAAGGAATTACAAATATACTATATACACAGTGTCATAGTGCTTTTGGATTATATTCAAAGTCTTGTAGTTCTTCTTGTTCTGGGTTCCAAAAATGGTTGGGACATTTTGTTTATGACATTTACAAAATATTGATTGTGTGAAGGATAATTGAACTTTCCTTACTATTAACTTGTTTCTTATGAACACTAATCAAAATACTAAAATCGTGTTATTTAACGCTATATTTTTTGTGATTCTGTTGAAATATAAAATGTTCTTTACTATACGTTAATGAAATGTTTGACAGTTGGCGCCCTACTTGGCTATGCAACAGTCCACTTTAACGTACTTTGCTCTAACAGTTATGATAATATTTCAAATTACTTTTAATATGTGCTTTAATATTCTGTAGATGGCAGCATGATACTTATTATGTTAGAATATAATCACAAAACATTTTTTTAAATACGAAACCACGATATACCTTCCAGATTGAAATATACACTAATTTAAATACAGAAAATATTATGTTTAATGTTGTATAAACTGTGTTTAAAATAATTCAGCAACTAACATACAGACACGTATATTCGTTTATTATATGTGCTATGATTTTCTTACATATTTGGAATATCTGAAAGTATTAATTTTAGAGTTATATTTCATAATAAATCATATATTTCTGTTCTATAAGTCTATAGAGTTTTACAAACTACCAGCTTCTATGATTTTTTAGAAATCTATACATTGTAGCTCTTTATAACTCTAATCAATTTTTTGAGAAATTTTAGCTGTGGTTTCACATTCAACAAATCTACAGTTTTTTTAAAATACAGTTATCATTTCTAATCAATCTATTTTAGATTATACTGATGCCAAAACGTCGAACCTGAGCAAGTCGTATCAGAAGTGAACAGTCAACCTTGAAGTATTTTCTGACTTGAAGAAATTGAGTTTACAAACAAATTTATTGTAGGAAAAGTCAATCCAACATTTTTTTTTCCATAAACTGTTCCTCAGTTGACGTGAACTCTTGAAAGCTTGCAGGTTGTAGCTCATTTTTAACTGTTAACTTATATATATATATTTTTTTAAATATACAACAAATATTTGACAGCTGCTAGTTATAAGTCGTTCTCGTGTTTGTTTTTCAAGAAGAATGTGAGATATTGTTTTCTTTCATTCTCTCTGGTCAACAACTAAGTTGAACCAAAAGAGAAAAAAAAAGGTTGATTAAGAAATCTAAAGATACTATTTATCTACCCTAAGCTATATTTACATTTTTGTTCATCGATTAGAACTTCATTGTGAATTAGAATGCGAGCACGAGGAACACGAAGAAGAAAATCACAGCTGGCGTTCCATAATTTTGTTGCATAAAGACGTACATGAAAACCTTCAATAAAGCTGCGGAAAAACGCTCTGCCGTCGCCTCAGTAACAACCAATAACTAAATCCCTATTAGCCCTAAAGCACTGTAGTCGTGTTGCTTTGGTGTTTCATTTAGGAAGACTCGGCACAACTCACAGATTCAATAAGTACAGTCAATCTAAGCCTACCCAGTTCTGATTAAAAACCTGTCACAAAACCAACAAATGTAGTGGGTAACGATGCTTACAAAGACATCAGAGAAAATAAGTAGATGTTAGGAAAGATGGATTTGATGTAATATATATTATCCTAGTAAAAGTATTATTGAAGTGAAACCTAGAAATAAATATGTAAAACCATTGTATGTATTCAAATGGCATATACATTTTTACAACCTCAATGCTTAATTACATATTGAGAATTCTTCGTGCACCTTTGAAGACATTTATAAAGAAAGGCTTTGAATTCTAATTGTTCAATAAAACGCTATGAAGCACTAGTAATAAATTTCTAAATTTACCGAAACTATTGGCCCTACACTTTCAAAGAAGCGCTGTTAAACTTCCCTGTTTTCGAAAGATCTTGAACAATCAAAGTTATATAACTCACAAGCAATTACTATTCCTCTACTCAAGCTTTCTGATTTAATATACTACATATCATCTAATTACCAGGTGAAAGCGGCGAAATGTGGAACTAATACTTATTGAAAAGTTTCCTTTCTTAGAGTTTGTCATTGAATTAGGCAATAAAAATGTTTTAGTGCACAGTTATTTATTAAAATTAGATTTATTACCACTTTAACGGTTCCTTTCATCAAAACTGCCCCTGACGTTTTAGCTGATGTATTAAGCACATTAAACCAAAATAGGGTTAATAAATATTAGCACTGGGATATTGGAATACAATAAACCCTTGTGTTAAGTCAAAGGGTTTGAGCAAATAAAATAGATTAGTCTTTTATGACATCATTAAATTATTTTATTCAACATGAAAATGGAAACGCCACAAGAGCAGTACACTTCGACAATATTTTAGTGTGTGTATTTACCGCCAGGATACTGGAAATTAGAGTTGCATTCCAAGTACCCTAACATCCACAATTTTGGTAATAGATCAATACAACAATTTTTTCTTGGATGTATTTTTCCATGCACTGTATCAGTACTCTGTTTGTAGAGCAAAGAATTTTACAAATCGCGTAAACTGTAGATTAAGTTTCCCGTATTCCTATTTATTTGTTCATTTCTAATTTCTAATCAGAGCATGTAAAAACACCATTTCAGATCTATCTATTGTCTCCCACAAGTCACTACCCAGAAGGCCTTTCGTTCGACGCCAGAACATGTCAACTGGGCTGGAAGAAAAGAGATAGCAGGTTTTATGTGAAACGCTAATACTATAAACAGTATAAGAATTTAAATATTACGGTTTGTTTGTTTGTTTTTAATTTCGCGCAAAGCTACAGGAGGGCTATCTGCGCTAGCCGTCCCTAATTTAGCAGTGTAAGACTAGAGGGAAGGCAGCTAGTCATCACCACCCACCGCCAACCTTTGGGCTACTCTTTTACCAACGAATAGTGGGATTGACCGTCACAATATAACGCCCCCACGACTGAAAGGACGAGCATGTTTGGTGTGACGGGGATTCGAACCCGCGACCCTCTGATTGCGAGTCGAACGCCCTAACCACCTGGCCATGCCGGGCCAATTACGGTTTAAACGCCGAACTATATCGAAGCATAGGAAACCAGTAGGCATAAAATTTATGATAAAAATCACGCAAACTGCAATTGCCATTATAAAAATGTGCTGTTTAATAGCAATGTTAGTTGCTGTTAACACGATTATTATTTTATCAGATATGACAAAATGAAAATTACAAGAGAAACTAAAAGGCATTTTTTTCCTTAATTTCAAGTTTCTAATAACTATTTTGATTAACAACTATATATATTCAACTTTAGGGTTAAAGTAGCTCGTCTGATTTAATAAAACGCATATTCAGTTTGTAAAAGAAACGAACAAACGTTTTGTGGAGAAGTTAAAGGAAATTTATTATATTTTGGAAAAAAAAATTCTTAATTAGGTAGCATTATACTAGCTGTACTTCCGCAGAGTCCCCGAAAGTGTTCTGTTTCAAGAGGAAATAAACACATAATTAAGAGTAACAATTTTTTAATCTTGCTTTTCAAGTTCATATGTCATGCTATGTTGTAGCCTACAGAGTGCATAATTCTTGTCGTGATTCATGACATGCGCACGTATTACTAACGTCACGACAGTACAAAATGCAACGTTAAGCATCCCTTATGTGGCGTCATTTTAGTGTCTACTGACAGACGGACAGACAACCCGCTACTGTATAGTGTTGCGAGTGGTTAAAACAGATGACCCCTCCAGACGGCCTTTGGCCCCTTTTGGGGAGAATATTCGATGTTTTAAATCCCAAAAACAGTATATATTTAAGTTAGATGTTTGCTGTTATTCCCAACACTAGAAATTCAAGCCGGCGGTTCTGATACTGTATGAAACCCAGGGCGGAAGACATAAGATAGAGTTCAGTTTTTTAGACGCCTATTATATAAAGTCCATGGTGAACTAATTAAGACAAATGTGAAAAGTTAAGAATATCATTCGCCTTCAGAAGCTTGTTAGATATAGTGGTTAAACATGAACATTTTATAATAATAATAATAATATTCCGTTTTTGTTTTGTTTTTTAAATTCAAAAATACAATTAAAAAAATATAGAAAGAGAGAGAAAATAAGTATATATATTTTTTAAGAAAACTTATTCAGAATCTCGAAGATATAGGCTCGTAAAATATAGTATCCTGCTTTTCATTGGTGTTTCTCTTTCCTCCCTGATCATGCATGAAACAAAACAAATTAAATAGACCAAAAAACAATATACACAAAAGCAACTAGGTAGAATATCGCCCCCCCCCCAGTGGCATAGCAGTATGTCTGCAGACGTAGAACGCTAGAAACCAGGTTTTCATACCCGCGGTAGGCAGAACACAGATAGCACATTGTGTAGCTTAACTATAAACAAATGCAGAATATATTTTTTACCCGTATTCCTACTGGTACTGCAAAAAGCGTCACGTAAAAAAAAACGCATAATCAATCAAAACTGAAGTATGAAAAAAAACTGAGTTATTTTTTTTTTTGTATTTTAAAGTTGCTGTACTAAATGACTAGAATTTGCCTGAAAACAAAGCACCGCGTATGTTCCTCCTCCTTTGAATCTACTGGCTTTCGTCTTCGTCCCGTGTGCCTGTTATCCTCGTGTTATATACAAAAGTTATGAAAATTCCTTTCCTCGCAACTTCTCATTTCTTGTTGCTTTTGCCAGAGAACTGATCTAATTTTGGTTATTTCAGCGTACTTACTTTTTTTCTGTGTTTGTTTTAGAGCAAAGCCATCTGCTGTGTCCACCACGTTGTAAGTCCGTAGACATACCACTGTCCCATTGAGGGACTTTTCTGTGTCATTAGAAACACTGGAGGACAAAGAGATTCAGGTGGCATCTTCTTCTAGTCGAGATTGTTAGATTTTCTTTATGTTGTTTTATCTTCTTGTTTTACTTCCAAGAAAACTGTAGCTGGATACATATACAGATTTTGGAGAAATTTTTAATCGCCTGTTCACCGTTGGCCTTGAGAACAGCACTAATTTTTTTTTGGATGAATGCTCTTCTGCAACATGTGGGAAGATAAATTTGGACAAATGTTAATAAAGAATAAATTGACACGTTTGAATGAAACTTTTTATAGTTTTATTTTGTGCGACGTGTCGGGCAGACGACCTTCGTCAGACAGAAAAGACTGTGTTACAATGGAATTAGGCTCAGAAAGAATAGTTGAAAAGTTAAATATTGTTAAATCTCCCTTTTCGGTCTTACGTACGTGAACATCGTCTCTTTCCCATAATTATTTCACTGAATTATTATTTTATTTTAATATTCTACTATTTTATAATTTTGCGAATTTATGTTTATAAATGCAAAGAGTATAAGAGATAAAATTAAAGAAAAGCATCATAAATTGAAGAACTTGAAATTGACTGGTATGACAGGAGATTTAGAAGATTATAGAATATCAAGAAAGTTGGTGAAACAGGGAATTAGGACATCAAAAAGGACATATGAGGAAAGGTTGGCTGAAAATGTAAAAATTAACAATAAGGATTTCTTTAAATATATTAAGGGTAAATAAAATGTTAGGATGGGTGTAGGTCCCTTCAGGAATTACAAAGGAAGGCTCGCATTTGATGATTATGAAATGGTTGGGTTATTACATTTTATTTTTGTTCGGTTTTTAGTAACGAAGATTTAAGCAGTATTTCACATCTTGAACAGATGATAGATGGAAACAAGATCAAACAAGATAACTGCATTACTTCTGAGCTGGTTGAAAAACATTGCGATAATATTGGGCCAGGTAATATTTCCCAAAGGGTTTTGAAGGAAGTTAAAGATTGGATATGTGAGCCACTTGCTACTATTTTTTTTTCATCAGTCCTTGAATAGTGGATAGGTACCAGAGGATTGGAAGTTAGGAAGGTGATAAAAATTATCCCAGTAATTATAGACCCATTACACTTACATTAGTTGTAGGTAGGTTTTCGAAAGTCTGATAAAAGATGCTATGCAAAGTCATTTAACAAAGTTTAGAATTTTATTGGATAATCAACGTGGTTTCCTAAGGGGAAATCTTGCCTTAAAAATCTCTCGACATTCTTTGAAAAAGTTACTGCTTATGTAGATGAAGATGTGTAAATTTGGTGTATTTGGATTTTCAGAAAGCATTTGACAAAGTGCCACATAAAAGGCTTGTAAAAAATATATCTATAGGTGTGGGGAATAAATTATCAAATTCGATAGCAGAGTGGCTGGATAGAAGAAAGCAGAGGGTTGTTACAAATGGAGTTCAATCATACTGGATTGTTACCAGAAGGGTACCTCAGGGCCCAGTCTTAGGACCCTTTCTCTCTTTGATTTACATCAATGACATAGATAAAATAATTATCAATAAGTTACTTAAATTTACTGATTAGATTAAGGTTTTGGATGTTGCTAGCTGTGAAGAGGATGCTGATGATTTACAAAATGATTTAGATCATTCAGTGAGTTGGGCAAATAAGTGACAAATGGGTTTTAATTATAAAAAATGCAAGATAATGCATGTGAGTTATGATAATTTGAATTATAAGTATAATTTGAATGGGAATAACCTTAACAGTGTCATGAAAGGAAAGGAGTCTAGGTATAATAGTTGATCAGTCTCTAATACCATCCAAGGTTGTATCCACAGAAGTATTGGATACAAGTCTAAAATGGTTATAATTACGTTATACAGCTCACTGGTTAAGCCAAATCTGGAATATTATGTTCAATCTTGGGCTCCTTACCTTAGGAAAGACATTGAATTGTTGGAAAGGGTCCGGAGAAGGGTTAATAGAATGGTGCCTGGGATGGAGGGGTTGTCATATGAGGAGAGGTTGAAATTTCTCAATTTGTTTTATCTTGAAAAAGAAGAGTTAGGGGAGATCTGATTTAGGTGTTTAAGATTGTAAATGGAATTGATAGTGTTGATGCATCATCTTTTATGATACTTAACAGTGCGAACAGTAAATCTAGGGGACACAAATATAAATTTTGGCAGGGTAGGAGTCATCTTCAGCTAAAAGTGAGGTTGGTCTTTGGAATGGGTTGCCTTGGGATGTTGTGGAGGCAGTAAATTTAAATGAGTTTAAGAGAATGCTTGATAATTATAAAAATGATAAAGGCTGGCTTTAAGATTCTTTGTTGTTGTTTTTATTTTGTTTATTTATTCATTAATAGTTTTAGTTTAGTTTAAAGGATGGAACAGCCGAGATGGGCCAACAGGTCCAATGTTGTCCCAAAACGTTATGTTATGTTATTATGTTCCTGTGTTTATATTTCTAACTCCAATTTTAGTTATTTAATTTCTATAGTGCATATTAGTGTATAGAAGACATTTTAATACGAGAAATAAACGACCTTATAACACCAAGTTGTTTAGTTTTTTTTAATTGGTCACTCAACGTTTTGCTTTACAGCTTCTTCAGGGGCGTTCCACTAAAACACAAACAGTAAGTGATAGTACAAAGCTTAAAGAAAACGCTCCTGGAGAAGCTGTAAAGCAAAACGTTGAGTGACCAATTAAAGAAACACAACAATATGGTATTATATGGTCGTTTATTTCTAGTATTAAAATACACTTTTAGTTGCTTAATTTTTTTCAATATTCTTCCTGATTTTAATAATGTTTACGTAATAAGTTGAATAATATTTTTAATCAGTATTTTTATCACCGTGCTCCACGTTGAACGATATTTTCTGGGTCTAATTCCACTGTAACACGGTCTTTACTGCCTGACGAAGGGCGTCTGCTCGAAACGTTGCACAAAATAAAACAATAAAAGTTTTCATTTAGACGTGCCAATTTATTAGTTATTATATTTTATCCAAATAATTCGGTTTGTTGATAAAGCAGCAAACTTTTGTAAGGTTTCAAGAAGAATATTTTACAATTCCTCCATAACAGGTGCCTCTAATTCACTCAGAGATAACGAGGCAAGAAAGCAACACTGAAGTCTGGTTTCAAAAAGCTAAATATCAGGTGAGTTTATGGGTGATGGTAGATGAGTTTAGGCCCATTAGATCTGTTTGAAATAACTGTCATTATCATTTCACCTTGATGAAAGACACTCTAATAGTTTCAGTTGTTAAAAAGTGTCCTTCTAGCAAGTGCTAGTGGGTTAATCCTTTAGTACAGGCCTTGTTTATAGAAGACGGAAGAATGTGTTGGTTTGAATAGTTAAACACTGCATTACTAGTAACTGCTAGAGGGTTAACCTTTTAGCTAAAACGCTTAACTGGCTCGAGAAAGGTTTCGCGTTCGACACCGATCCGAAGAAATACAAAAAACCTGAGATTACCACAACACTATCACCAGTGGAACACAGAGCGAACCTAATCTCCTAGAGTTGGCTTGTAGTTACTACAGTTTATGCTTCTCCAAACACAATTAATGGACAAAGACATGAATCATCAACATGGCCAGGTGATTAGCCCACTCGATTCGCAATCTGAAGGTCGCGGGTTCGAATCCCCGTCCCACCAAACATGCTCGCCCTTTCAGCCGTGGGGGCGTTATAATGTGACGGTCAATCCCACTATTCCTTAGTAAAAAGAGTAGCCCAAGAGTTGGCGGTGGGTGGTTATGACTAGATACTTCCATCTAGCCTTTCACTGCTAAATTAGGGACGGCTAGCGCAGATAAGACTCGTGTAGCTTTGCGCGAAATTCAAAACAAACCAATCATTATCAAGAAAATGTGGTCCACCCTAATGGAACCAAGAATAAGCATGGGTGTCTAAAATGAATACGAGCTTAGTTCGGACATGTCTACATCGCTTCTAAAAAAGCTACTGAAATATGATCAAACATATTTTCACAGTTAATTAAAGCCATTTTACTAAATATTCTTTAACCCAGATGGCATTATATGATACAAGCCCAAATTATTATAACTATGTGTGGGGTTTTGATGCGGTTAGATAAAATTAAACATGCATCAGAATTAGGGCCGATTGTTCTTAGTTCGCAGCCAGTTGCCATAAAAATGCATTTCGCACTTTGGAGCCGGGGTGGGCTATAAGAGTGACAGTCAACTCCCACTTTTCGGTGAGACAAGATTAAACCAAGAGCTGGGCTTTATGTGAAAATTCTGAAACAAACAAAACAAAGCACCAAATAGAAAAATTAATAGTCGTAGAAATAATTATTAGACATAATTACCTTTCTTTTCCAGTCGATAAGTGAAATACTCTAACTATGACTACATGTTTCAACATGCTTGGGAGAGTAAATGAACGATAAATACTATACTTCTTTTGCTGATAACGGCAATTACGCTAATCTCCGATATCAAAGTTTCATTTTTTTATCTGAAATAGTCAAAATGAGTTTCCTGCTTCTAGTACGTCACCACAGTGAATAAAAGTATTACAATGTTTCATACGTGCTTCACAGAGAACTGCTATCTTAAAAGAATACTGATAAAGTTGAATTAAATTCAATTACACAGTGTCTGCATGAATCCCTGGAATTTTGATGAAACGGTGCGTTTCCACACATAAAAAATATGTATAAATATTAATACATTCCAGTCTTTCTATAAACCGAAAAAAATATTGAACATTTTGAAGAATTCTTGCTAGCAAGAAGAATAGACAAACTGCCGTAATCGAGTGTTTCCATAAAGAGAGCAGCTCCATGACAGTTGGTATGTTCACACTGTTCATGATGAGCTCTCTTTGACAGCGACACTTCTTTTTACTTGCCGTATGAATGGTTTAGTAACACTGGATCAGGTTAACACAAGTGTTTCCATAAAGAGACATGACAGCTGGTATGTTCACACTGTTCATGATGAGCTCTCTTGACAGGGACACTTCTTATTACTTGCCGTATGAATGGTTTAGTAACACTGGATCAGGTTAACACAAGTATTTCCATAAAGAGACATAACAGCTGATATGTTCACACTGTTCATGATGAACTATCGTGACAGCGACAGTTCTTTGTATTTGCCGTAGTGATGGTTTAGTAACATTAGAGCTGAGTAGTCTTTTCTGAATTGATTATGTTAATATATGACAAGGGCAGTTTTGTGTGAAGTCAAACAAATGTATTGACAAAAAGATTAAAATGTTCAATAATATATTTAATTTGTCATGGTCATAAATTTAAATATTTGAATGTGAAATATCCTAGATTTAAACATATTCTCAAATGTGAACTATACATATAAATTGTCATTGATATTTCTAGAAACTCGGCTACTTACTTTAAACATACTTTAAAAAAGAATGCTTAACGATAACTCTGAAGAGGTTATAATATGAATCACTATGGTTAAACGTATTGGTTGAAAATATGGTATTATTCTGCTTTGAGATCAAACAATCTCTCATGGTTAACATTTTAGTTTTAAATATCAACAAATAAATTGTAACCATTTAGTGTAGCGCTCACAATTGACAGATGACATATATATATATAGCCACATCCACCATTTCACTACTTATTCTGGAAACTGGTCAAAATCACCCAAACCTAAATCGGTTATCCTAAATTCAAAGATCTATCGTAGAGGGGGGTGGGGGGACTTTTGATCTAAACTTACAGAACAGTTGCAGATGTTATAGCGAAAAGCTACATAATGGTCTACCTGCGTTCTGTCCACCACGGGGAATCAAACCCCAGTTTGTTTCATTGCAAGTCCGTAAACTTACGGCCAACCCACCAAGAGATTCGTCTAACAGTATTCAATTTTTAGTACACATGCACTAAGATCTGTTGACCATTGTACTGATAATTGTACGATTTTGCTTTTGAAGCGTTCCATAATTAAAATGTTTCTTTAAAAAACAATTAACATGTATAATTATATACACTATACTATATATCTCGAGGAAATATTATACGGTGTTCTCTAAGAAATATATGAAACCTATAAAAATGTGGGTCTTTTAGAAAACCAAATAATACGACTACATATTTTTACACCATCCTTATAGCCTAAAACTTGTAAGTAATTGAAAGAAACAACGCCTGTTACTTTGTTTCCTACGTGTTTAACTTACCTTTGTAAATGTTCAGTTTGTTCGGCTACTGACACAGCAGCCTAATGGCGTTAAATATCACTGCCAGATTTTTTTGTTTTCTCAGTTAAGATGCTTTCAACATTATTCTACTGTAGGTTATTTGGAGGGGGGAGATCCTGAAAGAAAAAATAATGTTTGAGAAACGTAACTGATTATGGAATATTTAATTAGAGCTTAATTTACAGTAACTTAATATACGTAAAGAAGTGAGGATTATATGACGTTTCATTCAGCAGTGTATTAACCTGTTTGGTAGAAACGATCAGCTTTATATAACATAGTTTCAGAGAGTTAACTCTCCTGGCATTAGTGACAGCAAGTTTTAAACTATGGTGACTTAAAACAGAGAACCTACATCTTACTTGATGACAAACAATGGCCGCAGCTTTAGGACAACGCACAAACTGAAGAGCTTGAATTTAACCTGTCTCTCGGTTACACCCTGACAACGTTTTTAAATGTGAAACTACTTATCTTACACTGTAACCATAGCTCAACTGATACGAGTTTGTTATCACATATTTACCCATATGCATTGTGACACGTAAACCGTATTTGACTTCAAGTGGGATCGCATATTTACTAAAAGAACTGCTATTTGTTTTGGTAAGATGAAATAAAGGTGGGAAGATAAGTCGTTCCAGAGCTTTCAAGTAATCTAGAGAGTTTGACAGTCTCGTGAATAAGATTTACCCGCACTTGTTATCTGTTTAGTGTTTGAGAACTGATATTCTGTCAGAAAAGGAATAAGCACTGAGTGAAATAAACTTATATTTAATCAGTTACAGAAACAATCTCACACTTGGCAACCATTTTTATCTGTGTATAAAATATTTCATGACAAAACCTAACTGTAAGGTAACAGTTACAAAAGGAACGAATTGCAAAGTTGGAAGCAAAAAGAAAGTCAACAGGATTTTTCACAGCCTCTTAGTGTTTAATGAAATAAATTATACTTAATAACAACCAAATAAGATAATGATTTCATTATAACCTAGAGTGGTGGTGAGTCACAATAAAAAATAAGATGTATTATAGAAACATAATTTATGTAAAAGAATAAATGAAAAATGCAAAAATAAAATGGCTGGTGAAAATAGTAACGCGAGATTACTGACTCACTGTATTGCCATCTATTGCTTTAAAAATAAACTATTTCAAACATAAACGTTATATAAATATGAAAAAAATCTCCATCTTCGACTTTAAACAAGTATCAGAACTGTAAGCCCACAGTGGATCAGCGGTAATTCAGAGAACTTACAATACTAAAAATCTGGTTTCGATACCAACCGGTGAACAGAGCACAGATAGATTTAGAACAAACAAACAGTCAAGAATTGGGATTATATATAGAAAAACTGGAAGCGCTTAATTCAAACATAACTTCATTTTATATGTTTTTTTGAAGGTGAAATATGTGGTGCAAGAAGGATTAAGAATTCAATGAATTACCAATAGGGAACACTTTTTAAATACATTTTTCTAAACTGTTTAAGCACCAAATTGCGAGTGTACTTACGACTTTGTTAATGTAACAATATACAAGTGACACAAAGTTTTCAAATTAAAATACCGCCAATATTATAATTCGTCCCGCTAAATACTATGGGGTGCGAGAACCCCCTACATATTTCCCATAGAAAATTGATGATTTCGCCTAATTTATTTGGTCAGTTCTTTAGGTTGAATACGGTAACAAGTAAACTAACTTAATATGATGCAACTAGTATTGAATGGTAAAAAAATATGTAGGTAATTTGGAGGGAGTGGTGGTAAAATAGAGCATCATTCAAATATTATTGTATAAAATGAAATAATTTTCATCCTTCATCTGGTATATTTACAGATGATAGACAGTTCTATACGAACTCTTACATCATCCAAAGATATGAATACTTCATATCTAGATAAAGCAACATCAGAATTAAATTTTCTTATTACCTAACGATAAAAAATACAATAAAGGTTAGAAAGGTATCGAATCCCGTAACTACTCAACGGACTGGACTGTAAAATGAAGCATTCAAGCTTCGTATCCAATTGCCGCAAAAACGTGCTCCGCATTTTGGGTAGTGAGTACGTTCTAAGAGATACTGTCAAATCCCACTATTCGAATAAATAAAAATAACTCCAAAGTTGTCTGTGGGTGCTGTTGGCTAGCTGTTTTCCTTCTAGTGTATAAGTTCAAATTTAGAGGTGGCTGTAATTTCGCGCGAAATTATGAAAAAAAAAATAAAAATACTGAAGTAGAAGAAACGCCAGAAAGAGACAGTTGGAGTTTCTAGGACACGTTATGAGGAAATAATAAATTGGAAGTCTAGTTGTAACTAGAAAGATTGGAGGAAGGAGAGACTGTGGAAGACAGAGGTTGACTTATGTCAAAAATTGATGAACGTATCGATATTGGACATTTTTTGTTGCTCAAGGCCCCCTAGTGGCACAGCGGTATGTATACGGACTTACGTTGTTAGAAATCGGGTTTTGATACCCGTGGTGGGCAGAACACAGATAGCCCATTGTGTAGTTTTGTGCTTACCTGCAGACAAACAAAGTTTGTGCCTCAAGAAGAAGAGACCTGTGGAAGTCCATAGTCACCAACGTCCTGTTTGAATATGGTACACAGAGAAAGAGAGAGAGAAGAAACGCGATGTGTGTAAGATATACTAAAAAAAAATAAAGAACTTTATAAGCAATTAAAAATGATATTGTAAAAATCCATCATGTATGCATTTACATAATTTATAGTATACTCGTAGATATATAAATTGAAGTTAAACGAATAGTTATCTTTCATGAGTAGATCAACGTTTGCTTTCTATATCTTTAACAAAATAGTGTGAAATAACCATCATTAGGCCATGTCCTGCCCAACCAAATGGGCCGCACGTGCTGCACTGTGTATCCGAAGGT